CTTCCAGACCCACAACAAGCCCCCCGAGCAGTGCGGTAAGCAGCACCCATGGGGGATAAGGGGCTGGCAGGGGAGGGAGCCTGAGGGTCTCCCCCCTGTTGCTCACGGTGTGTCCCCCAGAGAGCGAGGGGCTGGTCTGCTTCCACCTCTGTGCCCACGGGCACTGCTGGGGCCCCGGCCCGACCCAGTGCGTGGCCTGTGAGCGGTTCCTGCGTGGCCAGGAGTGCGTCGCTTCCTGCAACCTCCTGGATGGGTGAGCAGCAAGAGACCCTCTGCCCATCCCTCCCACTGCAGGGGTCCGGGACCCCCATCCCTGTGCCCACCCCAAGGTCCCTGCACCCACCCCATGGTACCTGTGCCCCACAGAGCCATCCGGGAACACGCCAACGGGACGCGGTGCCTGCCCTGCCACCCTGAGTGCCAGCCCCAGAACGGCACCGAGACCTGCTTCGGATCGGTGAGCATGGAGGGGACAGACATGGGGGGTGGTCCTGGACACTGGGGTCCCTCACCACCCCCCCACTCCATTCCTACAGGATGCAGACCAGTGCGTGGCCTGTGCCCACTACAAGGACGCGCAGCAGTGCGTGCGGCGCTGCCCCAGCGGGGTGAAGGCTGACGCCTCCTTCGTGCCCGTCTGGAAGTACCCAGACGAGGATGGCATCTGCCAGCTCTGCCCCACCAATTGCACCCACTCGTGAGTCACGCTTGGGGGATCCAGCCAGGCTGGAGGGGGTCTCAGGGAGCTACTGACAGGCTGCTCTGTCCCCAGGTGCACGATCCGGGACGAGGATGGATGTCCTGTGGACCAGAAGCCAAGGTAGGAGCGTGGGTGCCCAGTGCCACCCTGATCCCTACCCCTCTGGATTCTGTGGCGTATCCTCTAGCTAGGACCCCTACCCTGGTCCCCTCCTGTCCCACAGCCAGGTGACATCCATCATTGCTGGGGTAGTGGGGGCTCTGCTGGTCGTTCTCCTCCTGCTCATCACCGTGTTCTGCGTCAAGCGCCGGCGGCAGCAGGAGCGGAAACACACCATGAGGCGCCTGCTGCAGGAGACCGAGGTGGGGACACTGGGACCTGCAGCTCTCCTGGGGAGGGGATATGAACCCCAGTGACAGAGGGGTTCCAGGAGCCCGGCCTCCCCCTCACCGTTTGTGCCTGCAGCTGGTGGAGCCGCTGACACCCAGCGGGGCCCTCCCCAACCAAGCCCAGATGCGGATCCTCAAGGAGACCGAGCTCAAGAAGGTCAAAGTTTTGGGCTCCGGTGCTTTCGGCACCGTCTACAAGGTGAGGGATGGGGGGGTGCACCAGCGGCCTGGGACCCTCCCTGCTCCACACCCCCTCACCTTTGTGTCCCCCTCCTCAGGGCATCTGGATCCCTGATGGGGAGAGCGTGAAGATCCCAGTGGCCATCAAGGTCTTGCGGGAGAACACGTCACCCAAAGCCAACAAGGAGATCCTGGATGTGAGTGTGCCGGCAGTGCCGGTGGGTGAGCAGTGCCAGCAGTGGCCCCTGCCCAGCCTGACACCCCCCCTCACCCACAGGAGGCCTACGTGATGGCAGGGGTGGGCAGCCCCTACGTGTCCCGGCTGCTGGGTATCTGCCTGACCTCCACGGTGCAGCTGGTGACGCAGCTGATGCCCTATGGCTGCCTCCTGGACTACGTGCGGGAGAACAAGGACCGCATCGGCTCCCAGGACCTGCTCAACTGGTGTGTGCAGATTGCCAAGGTAGGACAGGGGTCCAGGGAAACCTGGGGGGGGGGTCGCAGGGTTTGGGGGGGCAGGACAGGGCCAGCCTGACCTGTGCTACCCACAGGGGATGAGTTACCTGGAGGAGGTGCGGCTGGGGCACAGGGACCTGGCCGCTCGCAACGTCCTCGTCAAGAGCCCCAACCACGTCAAGATCACGGACTTCGGGCTGGCCCGGCTGCTCGACATCGACGAGACCGAGTACCACGCTGACGGGGGCAAGGGGGGGCCTGGGGGCGTGGGGACCACGGTGCTCCCCCTCGGTGACAGCCAGCTCACCTCTCTGTCCTCCCTGTCCCAGGTCCCCATCAAGTGGATGGCACTGGAGTCCATCCTCCGCCGGCGCTTCACCCACCAGAGCGATGTCTGGAGCTACGGTAGGGCTCAGTGCTGGGGGGGCTCCTGGGGAGGACCTGGGGCACTGCTCACCCCTGTCCCTGTCCCCCCAGGGGTCACCGTGTGGGAGCTGATGACCTTTGGAGCAAAGCCCTATGATGGGATCCCTGCCAGGGAGATCCCTGACCTGCTGGAGAAGGGAGAGAGGCTGCCACAGCCACCCATCTGCACCATCGACGTCTACATGATCATGGTGAAATGTATGACATAGGGGGGGACAAGGAGAAAGCAGGGGGGGGATAGGGACATGGCACAGGGATGGGGCACCTCACTGATGGCATCTGGCTCTGCCCCAGGCTGGATGATTGACTCTGAGTGCCGGCCCAAGTTTCGGGAGCTGGTCACCGAGTTCTCCCGCATGGCCCGGGACCCCCAGCGCTTCGTGGTCATCCAGGTATGGTGGGTCCCCAGGGGTCCTGTCCTCCCAGCAGTGCCACAGGGGTCCTGACCACTGTTCCTCTCCCCCCCAGAACGACATGGTAGGGCTGCCCGGCTCCATGGACAGCACCTTCTACCGGGCCCTGCTGGAGGAGGAGGACATGGACGACCTGGTGGATGCCGAGGAGTACCTGGTCCCTCACCAGGGCTTCTTCAGCGCTGAGACCTCCACCACCTACCGCAGCCGCATCTCCTCCACACGGGTAGGTGGGCTGGGCAGAGGGGGCAGGTGGGAGCCCTCCCCTTCCCCAGCAGAGACAAGGTGACTGCCTGGGGACCCCCCTGTGGGCACCAGGATGGGGTCCTCAGCATGGGCTGCAAGCACCCAACTCTGTGTTCTCTCCTGCACCCAGAGCACAGCAGAGACCCCAGTGGATGCAGAGGAGGGTGAGGGCTTGGCTGCCTTCTCCTTCCCCCCCCAGGGCCTGCCCGAGGGGCCAGAGGGGCCCGTGCCAGAGGTGCCAGAGGGGGATGGGGGGGCCAAGGGGCCCCGGCAGAGCCCGTCGGCGCGGGAGCCCGGGGCCCTGCCACGCTACAGCGAGGATCCCACCGGCACAGCGGCTGAGGACAGCGAGGAGCCCGAGTGCTTCACCACCCCAGCCCCCCACATCACCATGCCAGGTAGGGAGGGCACCCTGTGGGACCCTCCCCAGGGTCTGCCCAGCCACAGCGCCCCCTGACCCATCCCTTGTCCCCACAGAGTATGTGAACCAGGCCGGGGAGCAGCGCTCGCCGCCCCGGTGCCCCCGCACACCCCCCTCCCCACCAGACAAGCACAAGGGGCACCAGGGTAAGAACGGGCTCATCAAGGAGGCCAAGCCCCCGGCGCACCCACCCCCAGCCCCTTCAGCCAAGCCTTCGACAACCCCTACTACTGGAACCAGGACCCTCCGAAGGGGGGTGGCCCCGAGGGAGGCCCTGGCACGACACCCACAGCAGAGAATCCCGAGTACCTGGGCCTGGCCGGCCCCGACGACACGGCCGCGTAGGGCTGGGCCATGGAGAGACCCCCCCACTTCACTGAGGCAGCTTGGGGAGGGAGAGCACAGCCAGGGGCTGTCCCCTCTGCCTGGTGGCACCAGCCACACCACAGGGTGACACCGGCCACAGAGGACTGGGAGAGCCCTGGACACTGTGGGACAGCACAGCAGAACATATGGGGACAGAGGGGTCACCATTTATATCCCCCCCTCCCCGAGGTGACCCACAAGCCACACTGAGCTGGATGGTTCTCAGACCACAACCAGGAGCCTGGCCCAGAGGACAGTCCCCATCCTGCTCATCCCCCCAACCTCCCCTGGCACCCCGGCGTGCCGGGACACACGGACTTGCACTGAGAGCAGGTGGAGGCCAGACCCACCCCCCTGCTCCCCCTGGACCCTTCTGAAGCCGCCTGGATCGCACCCAGATGTATATTTGATAATTGTACATGGTTGGATATATTTTTTTTTTTTCTACTCTGCTTGTCTGGCTGGTTCTTCCATCTCTGGGGACTGTTGTGTCCCAGGGACTGTTGTTGTGTCCCTGCTTTCCTGGCTTCAGGTGCCACCACCCACTCTGGGAGGTGGCAAAGGGGCAGGACCTGTTTACCTGGAGGGTGAAAGTCCCTCTCCTGCCTGGCCAGGAGCCAAGAGCAGGGCAGGAGACCTGATCCAACCCTGCTTCCACACCTGGGTGCCCACATCCCACCCCCTCGAGGGACACACGGGAGGGGCCACCTTCTCCTCCATCCTTTATTCAGCGCTGGGGGCCGTTGGGTTTATACACAGTATAGAATAAATAGTGGGGGTGGGAGGGGGCCCTCAGCCACCCCGGGGCCCAGGGCAGTGTCACTAGGAGCCCAGAGCCTGGGAAGGAGGGCAGGGGGGGGAGCTGGTGGCTGTTAAAGCAGGGCCGGGGCCGTGGGGCCGGTGCTCAGCCCGGGTTCCCATGGCCAGTCCTGCTGATTAAACAGTGACAGGAGAGACTTGAATCATTAACAACCCACGTGGGGTCACAGCCCGGGGCTCTTCCTCTGCTGGGGCTGCAGAGTCACCTCCACACCCAGCCTGGCTCCCCCCCGCCCCCCCCCCCGCGGCGGGGCGCGGCCTCACGGGGGGGGC